GGTTTGTTCTCACAAACATATTCTGAAAGCTCAGAATATATGAATCCGAGATGAGTTCTATGTAGATGGGTAAGAAATATAAGTTTCAAGAACAAAAAATGTGTTAGCGATGTCTAGAAACTACTGAAATTATGGAGGGAACACTTTTCCACCCTACTGAATGGTAAAAACAGTCAGTGCATTCGCGATATGGCACTCACGTCACTCTTGACAGTTATAATTTCGAGAAAGTAGAGAATTTCGGAATTTCGAAATCCAACGCAGAGTAACTACACTGAGGGGAAAAAATATTAAAATCAATCAGAAACATAGTTGATCCTACTATAAACGTCAACGAAAGTACTGTACAGTGGTAAATTCTCAATTCAAACACGCGGATAATATAATGAAGCGTTCGCTCGTTCAAAAGCATCCGTGAAGTGAACATTCAACATAAAAACAAAAAAAATTTAATTTGCATCTTGCTCGCAATGGAATTCAGACCCTGTTTCTCTGGAAGTTAACAAATTGTGGCAAGCATATTTGCGCACTCAGCTACAGCCACACACGCGATTAGTGCATTTGTGCAGATCAACATCTACGATGTTTGTATGTGTGAGTTGTCACCGCTCTGCATGCTTGGTATACATACCCTGCAGAAAATTTAGTTCATTTGAAAGTAATTTATAAACTATTTATTTTCAATGATAACTAATTGAAATTCCCACTATTTTACCTGCAAGGAACTCATTTACTTAACATGGCGATGTCCAGGGATGCAGTCAATTGCCTTTTCCTGCATATATATTCAACTACTTTAAAATGCATTTGGCTTAAAAAACTTCATGGTCAGTATGTTTCGCTTCACGGATGCTTTTTCTTATATAAAAGACAAAAAAAAAATAATTAACATTTTCACATGTTGCCTCTGTTGGGACTCAAACCCGGGCCTTCTGGAAGCTAACAAATAACAGCANGAACTCATTTACTTAACATGGCGATGTCCAGGGATGCAGTCAATTGCCTTTTCCTGCATATATATTCAACTACTTTAAAATGCATTTGGCTTAAAAAACTTCATGGTCAGTATGTTTCGCTTCACGGATGCTTTTTCTTATATAAAAGACAAAAAAAAATTATCATTTTCACATGTTGTCTCTGTTGGGACTCAAACCCGGGCCTTCTGGAAGCTAACAAATAACAGCAAGCATCTCTATCCGCAGCCAGACATGTAAATGTGCTTTCAAATTTTCAGTTTGAAGTGTGTGCATTAGGGTGGTCCAAAAATGCATGTGAAAAAGTAAAGTCGGAATTTTTTTGCTCTCATCCCCTAGGATTGTTCTGCACCGAAAAAAAGTATACCCTTATTTTTTTATTTTGAAATCAAAAAATATTTAGAGGTCGCTTAAAGNTGCATTAGGGTGGTCCAAAAATGCATGTGAAAAAGTAAAGTCGGGATTTTTTTGCTCTCATCCCCTAGGATGGTTCTATACCGAAAAAAGTATACCCTTATTTTTTTATTTTGAAATCAAAAAATATTTAGAGGTCGCTTAAAGCTCCCAAAATTTTCCATGTATGTATTTTATATGGGGAAAAACAACTTTTCGGGTACACTTTTTTTTTCAATATAGAACAATCCTAGGGGGTGAGAGCATTACAATTCCGACTTTACTGTTTTTGGAGCACCCTAGTGTGCATGCAGCTAGTCGATTGTCCGAATTTAAATTTGCTTTAAAATGCATTTGGTTTAAACAACTTCAATGTCAGTATGTTTCTTATGAATACGATTGCGTTCTGCACTTCACAGATGCTTTTTCATACTTCCCAGACACAAATTGTTTCTTTGTGTAAAAAGAGCATCAAAATTCGAAACATTTACTCATTGAATTTGTTTTAAAGCAGTCTTTCAATTAGTTGATTGAAAAAATCACTTGCTTCCGTCAGGGTAAGTACACTTACATATAAATACTTACTCATGTGGACATTCAAATCTGGGTTGTTGCGAATATTCGTATTCGCATTCGCAACCGCGGAGCTTCGGCATTAATTTTAACATTCGCATTCGCAAAAATCAATGTAGATATACCTGCGAACTTTTTTAATGCCCGCTTACTCATGGTCTGGTTAACACTAATCTTCGGTTAAACATCGTAAGCGACGTTACCGAGTCCCTGTTATATGCATGGATTCGAAGACGTCGATAACGATGTTTAACCGGAGATTTATGTTAACCATATAATGATTAACCGGCTCTAAATTTGTTGTTGTGGATCCGCCNGACGTTACCGAGTCCCTGTTATATGCAAGGATTCGAAGACGTCGATAACGATGTTTAACCGGAGATTTATGTTAACCATATAATGATTAACCGGCTCTAAATTTGTTGTTGTGGATCCGCCAGAGTGCGCTGGATTTGAGATATTTTTGTAAAAATTGGCGAGAAAGCAATAATAGAGCTCACACACTACAATTCCATGAATATGTATTTCAAAAACTCGCTGCAATTTTTTTTTTCAAGGCTTGTTTCTCTCTTTGATGCAATACATGTAAATAATTTTTACATTTTCTNAATTTTTGTAAAAATTGGCGAGAAAGCAATAATAGAGCTCACACACTACAATTCAATGAATATGTATTTCAAAAACTCGCTGCAATTTTTTTTTTCAAAGCTTGTTTCTCTCTTTGATGCAATACATGTAAATAATTTTTACATTTTCTCATTTCTATCATTTCAGATTAATTGATTTTGGTATCGATGAACATGAGTATGACGAGGTTCACGAACTACCAGAAGAATCCAACATTAATCCACAAATTGCAACTACAACAACAGATATACACGTACAACAGCAGCAACCACTCTTACACGCCACAAATACAAAAAACAACAACAACAGCACAAACACAACGGATTTACCCCCCGAATTGCCACCGCCAAAGCAAAACAAAGTGAAGAACTCAAAGAAAAATAAATCGAAATCGAAAATTCCACGCTCACCATCACTTGCCTCGAGCAGCAGCAGTGCTGCGTTAACGACGACAACTGGTGGCGGTAGTAATCATCTAAACAACAGCGGCAATAATTTTGGTAGTGCAATTAATTATTCACAATCGGTCAGCGGTGGCCGCAACACACCATACTCATCCATACCACCACAGACACCACCACTGCCGGCCAACTATCAACAAAGTAAATTGCAACATATGAATGGTGGCAACGTCACACCAACACAAAAGATTCCACAAACGCCATTAGGTGCATTCGGTGCCGGCATTTCACCTGTGACGCCAACAACACCAACAATTCTGGTGTCCAACAGCGGTGGTAATAATAATGTTGGTTTCGCAAGCACACCAACCGGTGGTAGTGTTGTTGTTGGTGGACTCGCAGTGATGGGTGGCGGTAGTGTGCCACTTAGTGGTGGCCACGGTGCCAATGGCTCAAGCGTTGGCGGCAATGGCGTCGGTGGTGGCGGTGGGGGTAATCAGCGGGGAAGCGTTAATATGGCTTCAGCTCGACGCCCACAGCTGCAAATCTCTCCCATACCGGAGTCGCCGAAACATTTTCAGTATTTGACTTTGACGGTGCGCAAGGACGAGAATGGATATGGCATGAAGGTAAGATAAATTGAATGCATGTACTTATGCATTTATTTTTCTTTTATGAAACTTATCTATCAACTACAAATAGAAATGGTGGTCAGATACGTAAAGCATTTAGAGCTTTTATTAATCGCCCTTTTAATAACATCGGAAATTTTTCGATGCTCTAGTATGGCTGGAAGGTAAAAACTAATAGCGTTTTCTTTTCTTGAAATAATGTTGCATTTATTCTGTCCTGCGCCGGGGGTGTCAAGTTTTCGTTTTCTTTTTTCGGCATTTTCACATGCATATTGCGTGCTCTTTCCTTAAAAGGTTGCACTCTGATAATGTTGCCATATACATAAGTAGGTGACATTTTTTTCGAGACAAGGAGACGCCATAATGTTCTGAACTGCAGTTTTCTCCCGTAGAGGTTCGAGTTTGTCTTCCGTCCACCTGAAATTCCTAAAGAGAATACTTCTAATACTATGTTCGTGGAGAGAAAACTGAATATATCTTTAAGGGAATGCACAGAAGATCGCCTTAGTCGGAAATGCAGGACATCGGGGGGACTAAGGGAGATCAATTTTTTCGAGAGAGCTGCAGAAATAAAAATCTCTGCTGAGTTCTTGTATACCAAAGCCAGTCTAACCTCAAGTACAGAAAGTTAAGCTTGGGAGAAAATACCCAATGCCCTGATACTTATTATTGTTGTATGGCTTTCACTTGCCAGAGCTTGTCATGGCGATACCAATAAATCCCTTGTCAAAAAACATGCCAGAAACAGCATAGGTTACTCCAGGTAGGATTTTGTAGGACGCAACGAGTCCAGACACTGCTAAAGTATCTCAGTTAAAGAAATCTTCCCAACTACAAAAGTGATTATCTTAAAGGGAAACTATTCTGGTGCCAGTCCAGACTCTATGAAAATAAATTGCTTTCAGTTAAACTGTCCTGTGCTCGTAAACGAACTAGAGAAAATCTACCTAGCACCCGAACTGGTTATCCTAGTCAAGATATTGCGGCTGATTAAGTTTTGTATGTTAGGGCTTATTAATATAGTATTGAGCGCTGGAATAGATTATACGTAGAAAGGATTTCCATGCCAGAACCTGTTCTGGCACTATTGGTTAAATTCCAGTTCGGGAAATCTAATGGATTCAGGGCTTTGATTAGAGATTTTCCTGCCGGGACATTACTCATTTTGCCTAAGATTTTAACAAATTGTTTTAATAAAGGCAAGGGGACAGAGATGGCTCTTGAAACCAAAAGTGCGCGTCACGATATTCTGCTTTCCCAACTCCATCGTCTCACATGCGGGCCAATCTCTTTTTTATCCATGTTGATGATTTGCCTGACTATCTTACAGACAATAAATGGCCATATGGTTTATCCACTTTGCTGTCCTAATAGGAAGTTAACCATTATTAGATCAATACAAACACTCCATTGATGTTTGTTCTATTTGATTTTGTCTCACACAAGAGAAATATTCGAAATAAAGTCTCATTTTATTTGACTTTACATCATTTTGCAATATTTCATTTAACTTATTGATTTAATTTGAATTGACTTTTAAACAGTTGGCAACCCTCTTTATAAATATTTTCGAAACAAAATTTTCTCGCACCTTTTTCGATTAACATCCATTTTGTAATACTTTAAAATTGAATTTAGCTTTGAAACAGCATTTTTGAAAATAAAGCAACTTTGCCATCGATATTGTGTTACGTCTTTTAACTTATTAATAAAATTGAATTTATGTGGTAAAGCTCTTGACCATGTTTTCGTACCAAAACATTTTTAAATCTCGATCGTTTGGCATCAATATTGTAAAACTTCGTTGAATTTATTAATAAAATTGAATTTATGTGGTAAAGCTCTTGACCATGTTTTCATACCAAAACATTTTTAAATCTCGATAGTTTGGCATCAATATTGTAAAACTTCGTTGAATTTATTATATAAAATATAATTTTACTTTTAAAACAGCTGGCAACCCTCTTCTCAAAATATCATAAGCTGATTTCATTCACCTTGCCAATTATATTGGTTTTAAATTCCGAAAATGGTGGCAACCCTCGTCAAAAATAATCTTCATGAAACCTCTCTCGTTTGATACCCATATTCAAATATTTTATATTACTTGTTAAAGTGATTTTTAATTTCTAAACAGGTTGTCGCCGCTTTGAAAGTATTTTTAGAATAAAGCATTCTCTACCATTTGGAAACCATATTAAAATATTTCGTTTAATTTGTTATGTAAACAGATTTTAACTTTTTGAACAGGTGGCAACCTTTTTAAAAAATATTTCCGTAAAACCCGCTTTTGAATGGATTCTGTTTGACAATCACATTGTTGTGATACTTTATTTAACTTATCAATTAACGGATTTTTAAATTTAGAAGGTGGCAACCCCCTTAAAAATATTTTAAAAATAAAATGGTTTTAAAACCCCTTTCCTTTGACAGCCAAAATGTTGTAATATTTTATTTGACTTATTAATTGATTGATTATAAAGGTGGCGCGCCTCCTAAAATCATATCCTATATGTAAATCCAAGCTATAATATAACTGTGTTCCAAATACCATTGAAATCCGTCCAGCCGTTTTTGTGTGAAGGGGCAACAAATATATTCACATACTCACATACTCACATACTCACACACTCACTCACAACTTTCACATTTATAATCCCACCAAACAATTTGTGTTGCCGGCAATAAGAAAACGTGTCGCCCTCGGAAACAAATTTATTGCCGGTAATATTGCCATCGAATCGATTTCCTATTACCGGTCGCTCTAAAACGTCCGCCGAAGGCAACACGCCTGGGCGAGTCGTTTTCTTATTACCTGAATGAGTCCTTTTCTTATCGCTTCAGGCGATATTTGGAATAATTTTATTCTTTTTAATACTTCATTTATTTTTTTGTATACCAAATCGCAACTTACAATCGGAAATAATTAATTTTCTCGCTGTGAGGCTTCCTATTTCTTCAATCTTGTCCTTGGGCATAATTTAGATGCTTTTGGCCAATACTATTGACGGCATATTCATAAGTTTCGGCATTTTTGAGAACTTTTTTATTCAAAATTGACATGAACGGAGTGATGTTGCCGATTTGTCACCACAGCATAAATCGGTGAGTCGCCAATTTGTTGCCATTGACGATTGTTGCCTATTTCTCATATTTTGCATGGTGGGTACTTAGTAGGATTTTCTTTTAATTTTGTTGAATGAGCAGTGCGAACTGAACCATATTTGTTACCATTCTGTAAAAAGATACACTTAACGATTCGTTTATTGCTTGGCATGATGAGTCACGGAATAGGTACTTCCTACTCTAAGTGATTTTTCCGCTCTTACTATTGCATGACACTGCGAATCTCATACAGCTTATTTGACCACTTACTGTCTCAAGTGTTTACAAACAATTTAGGGATTAGAGCCAATATACAAAACTGGCGTTAAAATCAAACCCACTAAAAGTGTTTGTCAATGCTACCCTAGCAACAAACCACTAACGATATATCGGCTCCAACCTTTCTTTTTTTAATTGCTGATCTGTCCAATTGCTGTTGTTGTCCATATTACGATTTTGTCCACCAAAAAAATCAGCGCATGCGATTTTGCGATATGTAAATTTTTAAAGTAATTTTTTTTTAATATAATTGTTGTCATTAGTCAGTTGTAGCACACGAGGTAATTTAGCATACTTTTTCTGCCGTTAACATCGCACATCGCCGTGTGCACTACCGATCACTGCTAAGATTTTTCATATTAATTTTGTTGTTTGGTCTTTTTAATTTTTTCCTTACGTTTATATTTGCTTTCGTCTTTTTATTTTTATTTACATTTCGGTTATTTTTATGGCGACGTCGACGACGATTAAGTCAGCATTTAGTTAAAATGAATTGTTTTTGTTTGTGAATTTGAAAATGAAGTCATCATTCGTTTTGTTGTTGGTCGCTAATATTCGACCGAACTAAAGTGGCAATCATGCAACATTGGAATCGGCACGATCGGGGTGATGTTGATGCTTGTGTAAGTACACATGTGCAGATTGCGCTTCTTTACTCATTTATTAAAAATTAATCATATGAATGCAATTTGTGGACACTCTGCCTTTTGTAGTTGTCGTCAATGCGTCTGTGTTTCGGCAAACGTTGCATTATTATTATTATTTTTGTAGATAGCGATGCGCTCCATACCCTCTGTGTTCACAGCTCTCTCACTTTCTCGCTAAATAACAGCTCTCACGTGATTGGTTCAAGCAATTCAATTTTAATTTCTTTTACATTTATTATCGACCATTATTACATTTTATCCACTTGAATAGCACTTTAATCGATTTTATCTTTTTATTGCTAATTAGTCGATCAGTTATGTGGAACTGTGACATTTGCCAGGCAACTTTTACAATTTCCTTGATTAACCTGTCTGTTGTTCGTCCGTCGCTGAACAAAGATTACATAAGATAAGTGTGAAAAAATGACGTACGCGTTTTAAAAAAAAAAAAAAATGGCAGTATTATTGATACTGCCACTGTGACAGATGATAATTTATCATTTTTAATTACTCCCGCAGTCCCTGATATAGTCGATCAGTTACATTAGCTGACAAAGTGAGAGTGAAAGGTCAGTTGATTTCCAATGAGATAATCCATGCGAAAGACATACAAACGAATTCTAGTTAGATGCAAACGGTTTTAAGAAGTGCGATGTGGAGAAAATAAGGATTCAAAGTAGTTCAAATAGATCAGAACAATTGTTATAATAAGAGAGTATATTGGTAATACTAGCACAGATATGGTTTGGATACTGCAGAAGGTTAAACTCTCACTTATACAAGTTTGATCTCGACATACCCAACATATTTATGTTTTTCCTTTATGATAATGAAGGGAATCCACTTGAAACTAAACTTCTCTTCCCATGCCCCTCTATAAATTACTCAATAAACACTTCGTTAATTTTTGTCCGACCGCAGCGAAACCAAAAAATTTTTGAGTCTATCGTTAGTTAATTTAGCCTG